GATGCCTCGTATTACCGCGATAAACTCATCCATAAGGTAGTAGGCTCGATCATCATCTCCGGTGGAGACTATCCTCTCTTCAGTTCAGCAACTTATTTATACGCGCTGAGTCGGCCAGGGTGGCTGGGGTGTACCTCACTGCATGGTGGGGGCTAACACGACAGGCTAAGCTAGAGAAGGAGCAACGAAGAGTTGCTGACTTACAGGACGTAGCCGAGGATTAGGGAAGTAGGCGTCGACTGTGGGCATGCCATTTAGACTATGAAGGATACCGAGACACGCCGACGAGCGGCTCTCACCACTTGGGGACTTAACTTTATTCTACGCTCGAATGATGCCTTGCAACACGCCATGCTGGGGGATTCTTTCTACTCCTGGAAAAGCTACACTAGGACTATGACGGTCGAGAGGCTCAAAGTCAGTAGCGCTACTACTACTACTACTACTATTACTAATACTACTATCACGGTTTCCCTCTCTGCCTGGTAGTTGGCAGTGGAAAGGGAACAGAATAACATAAGAGAGTGGGGCTGCAAGTACTTTACTGCGATGAACAAAGGCGCCAATACTACTTTGAAAAAGGAAGTGAATGAAACGGTTTCGAGTCATCGCCGTGCTCGCGAGCTCCATGCAGGCTCTACTGAAAGTATCGTTCCGTGGCTGGCAGAGAGAAGTGGCCGCCGCACGACTTTTCAATAGAGTCACAACAGAGCATGCAGCTCGGTCTGAGCAGGCTGAGACTAGATTAGCGCAGCTCGTGGACACACTGGTGCTACTATGACTGCTAGCATCCTCTTTAGAGGTATTTGGCCCACTCAGAGCTCACGTCTTTTCCAAGTCACCACGTCGGTGTGGACCATCCACTTAGCGTTGGTTGCCTGGAGGGCCTTGACACGAGAAGGAGTAGCCCAGAGGCAACTGGACGTGAACCCGTCTCGCAGGATCATCACGGTTTCTATTGAGCTCCTCCTCCAGAGTCTCTACTATGCTGCAGTGGACTCCCGTATTACTATGGCGGAGAGCTTCTTCGACCGTGCCCATCTAGAGAGATCGGGGCATTTGAAGAGACGAGCTTTCGGTGGGTGGAAGGCCGAAGCACTTCTCCTGGGTGTGCAGCAGAGAGAGGTAGCTCTCTGACCCCCCACGGTCAACAGTTCTATCTCAGCTTGAGCTACGCCAACAATTGGCAGTCTCACAGAAATCAATAGCTTATTTCATGGTAGAGCAGTCGAGTATGCAGGCCGATGCTCACCTGCTCTCTATCGTCTTGAGAGAGTGGCTTCACGCTGCAGCGAAGGGAGTTATTATTAGGCAGCTGGAGTCCAACAAGGGTAGGAGGGAAAGGCGACTGGTCTGGTCGAGGTGTGCTGGCCATCCGTAGTGACAGGGGAAGCCTCTGCGGAAGCCTTGAAAAATCTGCTAAGGATGGCTCGAGCCGCTGAGTCAATCACGGAGGAGTATATTAGAGTCTCCTTATGTGCATATATCTTCAACATGTGGCAGCTGGATGTATGGGGGGGGCGCAGATTTGGGAAGAACGGACTCCTCCTTCCTACAGACGCAGAGGGTGGCTCGAGAGAAAACGGCCACAGCGACTGAAGCACTGAATGCCATGGTAGCGGAGAAGGAGGCTTTGGTGGAGGAGAATGAGAAGTTGCATGCCAGCAGTGATGAACTCCACAACGAATAAGCGACTGAAGGCTTCTGGATGGGAAGTCCGAGGGGGACGCGGAGAGCGAAAGCTCGTCATCGTCTGGTAACGAAATACTTCTGATGTGATTACGCATGGCTTGTCGTGGTAGAGGAAGAAGATCTCGAGAGGTGTTCACCGGCGTGGCAGCCCAGGGGTACTCCCCCAGACGAGGCCATCATCGGCAGGCTGGATCTCTATGATGCCGAAGAGAATTTGAATAACGGTAAGACATCGTCTATGGCATTAGTGGTCGATGTAGTGCTGCTGTAGGGGAATACTTTATGGAGAAGCCTAGCCAGGTTAAATGCCTGCCTAGTCGAAGGCTCTTTTACTGTGTGAGGGATATTGATGATTATCAGAGCTACTTGGAGTAAGCCTTCTCATAGGAAATAGATGCACCCGGTGGTACATAGTGTGTTTATATTTGCCCTCTATCATCGTCTTAATGAGTTCTCACTGTGATTTTTACTCTGTGTAGCCACGGGAATAAAGGGGAAGATAGATATGCAGCCATGCGCAGTAGGAAGACAGCGTTTTCTTCATTCTGTGTGTGTATGAGGGGAAAAAACTGAATTTCACACATTTCTCGACTCCACTTAGTGTGACGAATCGAGTGGTCTATACGATCAATCACATGAAATTCGGACCGAGATGTTACCCGTCCATCTCGGTACAGTACATAAGCGGGTATAAAATACGCTCGTAGTATTGTGCGCATTTAACACACGAGAAGGTACAGTACGAGCATAAAATCTGCTGCTCGTTGTAAACAGTGCCACCCGTTATATCTCCTCAGAGTATTCGAGAATGCATCTCTGAGGAGGATGAGAAGTCGCTACTCCCTCAACGACGTATGCAATGCCATCTACGACTGGCCCAATAGGGAAATATCAATAGACTCGGAAGCTTACTCTGCGGGAGTGTGAGTCGTCGAACACGCTCCCTATTGGCACTGTACCATCAGGATGAGGTCGTTGAAGAGGAAAACGCTGATGCAAATGACTGACGACTTCTTCATTTCCCTTATCAAAATAGCACGCGAGAGTGTATCCCGTCGCAAACGGTTCAAACAACAAAAAATGGAGTCGAAGATTCTGTCCCTTGACAGCGCAGAGCAATCGGTCGCACCGCGAAGATGTACGCTCTTCCTGGCTCCCCCGCGAGTTGGGAGCACGATACTAGCTGAGCCCAACACGGAGTTGCTCGTGCCACAAGCGAGGGAGATTGAGATCGCCCCGTCGCCACCACCACCACCCGAAGCAGCTGTGGACCCTCTCGCGGTTGACACTACTGTGGAAGATATCCAGCAACGTGCTGGCAAGACTGTATCACTAGAGGTCGAAGAACCAATAGGCGACTCTTCATCAAAATGATGTTGCGAAGACTAAACCACTCCCGCTCATGTGGTCATGTTCATGTTTTCTCTAGTACTTTCCTCTTTGCTGTTGTTGGGTTCGAGAGACGGGCTAATAGTTGGATAGCTTTACCCAGCCTAGGGAAGACTATGAGTTCATCATTCTTCCATTGCCTCTTCCTTCCTCTACTCGCATACGTGGCTACTACGGAGGCTGTACAGCAGCTCTTCCCTGACGTTCCTCTTCCAGAAACCACATCCCACCAGTGTGTAGCCTATGCGCCAATACAGGATATATCAGTCTCTGAGGCCTCCGCTATCTTCTACTCCGCCGCACTGTGGAAGAAGTCACTGAGTTTCCCCGTCTCGGTCCCCAGTGGCCTCATCCTTTACTCAACGACGAATCCTTTCTCATGTGAGTCCATCTCGTTGTGGTGTTCCCTCCAACGTTTGTTTCAGACTCACCTGCAGTAGTCGAGTTCGAACAGCTGGTAGCGGGCAGTTTCCCCGACATCCGCTTCTATCGCGTGAATCTCGTAGAAGCAACTCAAGCTGAGCTACTGCAACTGTAAGTGTATGTGATCATCTGCCGAGACTGCGAGTGTGTTCCGAATCGTCAGGCAGTGGATAACCATTCCCCGAGTAATTATTCTGAGTGCTTATCGAGACTCTGGTAACAAAACTTTCGCCACCAGCATCGATCCACCTTTCGACGCTGAGAAAACGGTATCGTATATAGCCAACGTTACAGGTTTGGAGATCGCCACTGCATCTCATTTCTACCGGTGAGACCCTCAAGAACCACAGCAATGTGAACTGCCTCTCTCTCCTTCCAGGTCCGCCCCCTTGTACTCGGACGAGTTCAACGTCCGGCTGCGCCTTGATCCGAGTGTTTTCTCCTTCCGTGACTGGACGGGACTCACAGTGCTGGCGTACATTTGCGCTAAGTCTCTGTTGCTCCCAGTGCTGAAGAAGATGCATAAGTTCGTGCTCAGTTGCGTTGTCAAGCTCTGTTGATGTACTCTTGTCTCTGCAACATTTATCTCGTAGTGTTAGTATCGGCAACCTGGGCGCCCCGGTGCTTGTGTGGGTCTGTCCCAATCAACTGGGCTCACCCTCTTCTTTCCATCATGGCATTCAGTATCAGACGTTGTCGGAGGTTTCTAATACCCATCGTCGAAGCTTCGCCCATTTGCTCTCTGGGAATATGATTGTATTTTCAACTGCTCTCTGATCCCGTCGTTCAAGTGGTATTTACTATCTCGTCCATTCCGCACAACACTGTATAACACAACAAAATTAGCAAGTCAAGAGACGCCAAGGCTCCCACGTCTATCAGTAGAATGCAACAGTACCCGAGATCCACCTAGAGATGCAATAAGATCGGTTTTAGAATAGATATTAATGTGCAAAGTGGGATAACATGATAACTAAAACCTGTACAAATACCTGAACGGCTTTGATAATAGATAATGTATGATTGAGTTGTAATACAGTAGTAACACAGGAACTATCGATGTAGCGACGTAGCTTTGAGGACGACTCAGAAACGGCGTAGTGTTATCGCTTCATACGGCGCATCTAAAACGGTGAAGCGACCAACACGACGCCAGACAGATGTCAGATAACAACACTCGAAGCGTCCGACTCGTCGATTATGCGAGGATATGCCGCCGCAGTCGGACCTGGCCAGCACAACCGTTTTCCCACGGCAAGGGTCACTTTCATCAAAGCTGACAGAGAATCTTCCTCGAGTGAACACTTTCGATCGTTGGTCCTCCGAAGAGGCCATCCAGGAGGTGGAAAGAGCGAGTGGAACAATAAGGAACTGCAGAGATGAGACTGCACGGCCTCATGTGACATATTGAGAGTGAGTGCACAAAAGAAAACCAGGAGGTTCAGAAACTAATCGCGTTTCGTACTCTTCTTCTCGACCTTGTAAGCCACACCAACAATCATCCTTGTCCCGGCAGAGGACGCAGGAGCCCCTTCTAAACAGTCGTGCGATTAGGCGGTACACTGGAACTCAACATGAGGGCGAACTCACATAAAATTCATCGTTACTTGTGACATTAACAACATATTCGTTTCAGGGATAACAGAAGTGGTTATACCAGGATGAACACTTCCCTGTAGAGAAGAAGATAATTACGTGATAGATTAGCGTATTGGTACCAAACATGCATTTTCAACGACATCATCATTACATTGAATAAGAGGATTCACACAACTCCCAGCTACACTCAGAAGAGCACTCCTCCGCCTTTACGGAAGGTGTACGGTCATCATCTTGAATCGGTGGCGCATCCTCGTGCAGGAGTTCTTCACAAGAATCGATATCCCACTCATCGATTTGACATTCAGCGTCGTCCCTGCCGATGTTGAATGCAGGGACATCATCTGTCGCCGCTGAACGACTCTCTCGTTCTGGAGGGCTTCTGCGTTTTGGATAAGCTCTACAGTATCTTCCACAAGGAGTTCCTTCTAGCCAGCCAACTGTGAGCATGTGGTCAAGAGCTTTGCGGCCCATTGAGTCTAGGCGACCTCTAATCCAGCGAACCGACACCCAAGCTCCTCGAGGTTCCATATATTCGCATATCTCATCAAAGCGGCAGTTTATGCAGCTTCGACGACAGCGGCGACAAGTCTTTTTCTTACGTGGCATACAACGAATTGGTTTTCTGATTACCACAGACTACGAAGAATAACTCATAGTAGTTCAAGTACCCACCTTTCGAGAGGATCCACCTCTTTCCTTGTACGGTTAAGGGCCAGCGGATGCCTACCACGCTTTGCCTTATTCATATTGCCCACGTGCCTACCATCAGCCTTACTAGTAGTCCCACCACGCGAACGGGTAATCATTCCGCCCATTGATACGATGAAGCCAATGTCAAGGATAACGAATATGGTGTCGACGCAGATGAACCAGTACGCGGCGTTCAAGCACTTTGAAATGAGCTGGAGGCCCATCTCGGGGGTCGATGGCTGCTTGAAGAGGAGCTCATGAATGGTATAGGAGATATCGGTGGCGACAAGGCAGAATATGAACGCTAGCAATCCTAGTTCCACACGACCTAAAATGGTAGCTGCCTGTGAAGAACACCAATGTAGGTAAGAACTGCACGGATGGGAATGCGGCATAGCCATGCTGGGGACAACAGACGCTCACTAAGCGGTAGATCCTGAGGAGCATAACTCTGGGCTGAGTTGGATATTGAAACTAATTCTTATTCATGATGAAGTCAATGAACCTCATCTCTGAGTTGTCGTCGACCACTACGACCCATGTCCGGAAGTCATATCAGAAAAAAAAGAAAAGCAAAGACAAAAAAGCCACGTAGCAGCGCCAGTCTAAGAACCGACTGGACGCTCTAGTAGTAACTCCACGATGGACTTCCAGTATCCGGAGCCCCGCGAATATGATCATGACCATCATAATGCTCGAAATCCGAGATCCTCACTGAGGTAGTCCGATCAGCACCGTCGGCGAGTCGCCAAAGTCCCTCGGTACTGTGGCTGAGTTCCACTGCTTCCACGATTGGACTTTCGAGTCCTCCTCCTCCACCACCACCATCACCAAACTGCTGCTGCCTCCAGTCCTTGTCGAACTCGAGGGCGCCCCTGTATACACCGTGGGGCGGCATATCTTCGCATTCATGGGATACAACAGTTTGCTCATCACATGAAGCGCCGCCCCAGGAGTCCGCTAAACGGCAATAAAGGCCGCAGTCACTGAGCTCGATCCAGCCTATGTCAGCGAGTGTCCAAATAATTTCCCAACCACCAGAGGCATACCCAATCTTGGAAGCGAGGTAGTTGAGGCCCACCCAAATGCCAACAGGTTGGAGTGTCGCATACACGGTCGAAAGCGCGGGAAAGAACTCAGAAGCGGCTCCAGAATGCTCTACCATTTGATCTGGTTCGAGGGCCATGCTAATGTCGCTGACATTCATATGATCATCGTCGCTTTCCTCCTCTATCAGCTTCTGCACCCACTCAGTGTAGAACACGTCAAAGCTGGGATAGGAGTCCAATGGGCTCATAGGGCACTCGCTAACAGTAGTGGAAGAGGACTTACCAATATCGTTGGGAGAATGACACGTGAACGCATCACCCTGATATAAACGAGATGCCTGCAAGCACACAAGTATTCATACTATACTACTACTACTGATGATGATGTCGTTGACGATAGGAGCTCCTCAAGAGGATATCTCGGGGTGGCTGCCAGGCGCGGCGCCAGAGACTTCGACGGATAGTCCACAAACGGTCCGTTCATTGTCTCGTCACCAGCCACCCTGAGCATACCCCAGTGTTATTGACTCTCTTATCGACCACTTCTACTACCTATATCCAGACGGTCTGCCTATACTTACCCTACTAGGCCTTCGCCCATGCCGACCACTGGGCTTACCTGATTCACCCACAACGTGATGAAACTCCGCCTTACTGACAACAACGTACTTGAGGCCGTCTGGAAATACCCCGACTTGCGATTGCCACGTGATCGACCTGGCACTCCCCAAGTGTCGTGGCCCAGTGAGAGCGCTGCATTTCTCATGTGACCATTACTACTACACGATGTACTATCAGAAACACTAGACTGTTGTCGTCTATAGGGCCTCTCCACAGTAACCCAGCCTTGTACCACTTCACCGTTATCATCACTTGCCTGTACGCCCACATCGGTGCTCACAGATGGAGTCCCTCTACTATCAGGACTTGCAATGGGCACATGTTCATCAACACCATCACTCGCCTCGCTGGTGCTGCCCGCCGCTGGAACAATCTCGTATGCTTCCCTCAGCGTCGAGTTTCGTTGGCCAGTAGGCTTGCCTCTATCCCTTGGTTCTCCTCGACGAACGTAACGAGATATAGTAATACTCACCCAAGCATACAGGGATCGCAATAGGTCAAATAGGGGTGCCAGAGCGCTCTTGCCGTGCGGGGTCCGATTGCTCGCAGATTTTTTTCTCCCCCTTTTCTTGGTTTTGTTCTTCCTTCGCTGACCACCGCGCTGGCGTCTTAGTACACCACCGACTGTTGAAGAGCTATTTTATCGCTATGGACGCTGTGAGACTCACCTGGCTTGAGATCACTGCCCACACGGACAGCCAGAAGTAGAAATACGATGCACAAGGTGCACCACAGGAGAATTCCCTAACATGGACAGGCAGTCTGCGACATACCACTCCAACCTCAAGTGTTGCTGAATTCGAGGAGCGCACACTATTGGCAAAAAGCGAGCAGGTCCATTGAGCAGGTGCATCAGGTAGCTCTCAGGTTCATTACCAGATTTCCCACGACGCCTGGCTTCACCAACACTCCGAAGATCTCAGTGAACGAGATTCTATCCATACCTTCCTGAGAAAATATCCAACAGCTATAATCCCTATCCCTACTCCAGTGACATAAGAACAACACAAGCCGACTCACACACTGGTAAAGAGCTGCAATTTTCGTTGTCTCGGCCAAGCCGATCGATAGTTAAACGATTAAGCAGCTGGACTGTAGGGTACAAACCATTGTGAGCAGAAACAAGTTGTGGTAGTAGTCGACAATGGTGTAGCGATTTCAGTTGTTGTAGAGGATAAGTAACCTGGCCATGGCAGATTCTAAGTTACAGAGGAAAAATTTTTTGCTCTCATTGTGAAAAATTGGTACCGGATGACGCGCATCTCACTAAAAAACCACGAACACGAACATTAGGTCGTTCAGTGTTCTGATGCCAACAAACTCTTCTGAGTATCGGCCATCACGGAGCGCCTAGTCGATACACGCCCAGCAAGGACGCCCACCAAGAGCGCTACGACCACCGCTACAGCGACTGACCAGAACGACATTCCAACTCGATCGACCCTAGTATCAGCATGCACCGGTGTCCCAGCGGCTTGGACGTACTTAGGGTAAATATAGTCTTTATTAAAACCGATCTGAGCCAAGTAGTCAGCGGGATACCCCATGTAAAAAACTTTCTCGGGATCAGATTCTGGGAAACTATAGTAACCGTCGTTGTAGCGAACAACGAGCTTGTCAGATAGGTCCCACCAGGCCTTCACCACTGAGGTCTGAGCATCGAGTGCTCCAGCTGTTGTGGCCGCATCAGCAGCAGCGATCATTTTAGGTTGCCATTCAGCTATGGCCGGCTTCACGTACTGCTGAGACATGTTCTGGTAGTTCATGTTCATCCAGTTGGAAAGGAAGTCGAAGGCCCACCAAGCACTGTCCCTTGCAGTGCTGAAGTTGGCCCTATTCCCCAGCTGATAATAGGAAGAGTACAACTTCTTACTGCCCTCGAGATCGCTAGCAGAAGCCTCCTTCAGAGTTTTGGCGAGGAACGGTACGAACACACTAGAACTAGGCTGATCAGTACCATAGAAAACAACGGGATTAGCCGGGTCTGGGTAACCTATTATACTGTACGTTGTACGAGGTATGGAGATACCTCTAGCGATCTCACCGGGCACCTGAGTCATACCATCACCACCCTCAATCCTGTACGGGTTATGATAGACACCAGCCAGGATGCCCTGGTTCAGGTCAAATGGGGTGTCCTCGTAGCTGGTCCTGAAGATGTTCATCAGATCTTCACGAGTGATGGACTTCTCAGCAGGCACCGAAAAAGGTAACTTGAAGGGATCAATGTTGAACTCCAGGCCAGAGTTTGGTGCCACTAGGTTGTAGATGGCCCACAGCCTGATGCTAGTGTAACTGGGCTTGATAGTGTTCACACCGTAAGCTCCGATGAAACTAAAGGGACTCTTGCCGTCCCAAAAGCCAAGCTTGAGAGCCTCTGACTTCACATTCGGAGAGAACATGAAGTTATTCGGGTCGTTCTCGTCAATCTCCCTAATAGTATACTGATTGGCAATAGCAGCCACATGGCCAGCAGGGACCCTTTGGGCCGCCCAAATAGCCGATTTACCGGTAGAGTCATGACTGATGTCGAACACCCAAGTAGAGCCGTTAGTGTCTGCGATGGTAAGTGACTCACCAGCAGCAACAGTCTCAGGATAGAAGCCGTACTTCACAGCGGTATTGCCCATCTCCTTGATGGCACACTCGGCCGTTGAGCACCTCTCCAGCCCGATACGGATGAGCTCTTTGATGCTGAACTTAGCCTCACCGTACTTACCAGTCTTAGGATCAGCAAGATCGACACCGGATCCGCCAGGGACCTTAGAGCTCGTACTGGACTCCCCTACTGTGAGGCCCTCCTCGTTCATAAGGGGATAGTTAGACTCCCACATACCGTAGGTTCGAGTGACCTCAGGGATCCTAGCACTAGGCTTAGTGAAGTTCTTACCAGCAGGGGGCAAATAGATAGCGGCACGATTGTTGTAGACCCTAGGATAGGGCTGATTGATACCAAAAACATCATGCTGGTCACCTTCCTTGTGGTCACGAGCAGGGACCAGAGCAACTCTGGAGTCACAAATGAAGCAATCAGCCGAATGAGCCACCATGGCCACACCCGTGCTGGACGCCTCTTTGGAAACAGCCACTGTTGTACAGGCCCAAGTCACTGACACAGGCACTGTCAAGATGGCGACTAGGGTACCAGTAGTTGGAGAAAAACGCATTCGAAAAGTAGTAAAACTTCAAGTGTGACGTAGAGACTGCTGCTGTACACGCGTGCAAGCCCGATCAGGGATCCCAGTGGACAAATTGGTCCCAGTGGAGGCCCTTGGTTAATGTTTCACTGAGGAGGGAGAGAACGAGCCTACGGCCTGCTTTGAACACGAAGGGACAATTCCACCAACGAAACAGACCACAAACAATCTCTGAGACGCCAATTCCGTGCGGAAAAATGGATTACGGAAAAATGGCGGACCTGGGATTCGAACCTGCGCTATTCTACTAAATCCGCACAACACTTTCTGGTTGATGAGTACGTTTAGTAATCTAATCACTTCTGCGATGAGGAGGCCAAGCGATGATACTAAGATGCTTCCTAGACCGAATACGTCGTAACAGCCGGGAACACGCCACAAGTTGAAGGATTCTTTGCCGTTCCTAAGACCCTCAGAATTGGCAACACTGAAGCATCGTCAGCTAGTTCGAAATTCTCCTGAGATTTTACTACTAGCATCAACTATATGGGTATTTTATACGAGACATGTACTGCGGCTAACCGTGAACAGGTTTTGCATTGTACTCCCTTTCCTACGTCGAACACACTCACTACTATTGCACACAACGACACTCGATGTTCGAGACAACATGACTCAAAGGAGTCGATCAAGATGAGGTCTAAACAGTCCAAACAAACTGGACAGACAGACAGAAGAATAGCTTATGCTTGAAGGAAAGCATTGATCTTGTCGAACAACATTGGGAAAATTAAGGGAGCGAAATGACTAAGTTCTTCATTTCCAACAACAACTCCTTCAGCGGTTAACTTTCTGACGAGCTCCTTCTCAATACAGCGCCCGATGCTCTCCGCAAGATCGACATTCAGGTCCAGCAAGTCATTGAATACATCGTCCAACCAATGAGGAACTTCGTGGCCATCAAGTCCCCAGTAAATGTCGAGATTTTCCACGTTTATGGGGTCCATCTTGAGCGCTTCAATATGAGCAGTGACCATAATACCGCTGTTGTCAACAAGCGACAAAGTGACATCGATGCGAGAGTTCATTGCAATCTCGTCAATTGAGACTTGCACATCGCCCTCAGCACTGAGCTTGCCATAGTATGCGTCAACGTAGCCGAAAACTCTAGGAGCCTCAGTGAACTTGGCAGAAATGTCCATACCAAGAGTGAGAGACTCGTTGGTTGACGTGACAGAGGGCTTGAGCAGATCCACTTTCAGTGAGTCTACATTATTCAATTGTAGTAGTGAGACGTTGTAACCCTCTCCGATGTGTAGGAACCCGGAATGCTTAGAACGGGCAATGCCGACTGGCGGATTGAAAACCACAGCCTTCGGAAGCTTAGCAGAAATGATGGAGTTCATCTCAGGAACTCCAGTGGCGAGGACAGTCGACAGGATATCATCAACATGAGCCTCGTTGCTGGTGATACCACCAACAACACCGAAACAGGCAATAGCAGTGATAGTAGCAAAGCTCTTCATGGAAAACGCGAAAACTGAAAAAGCTGACGTAAACAAGCAAAATAACCCCCGAAAATCCATCCCAGACCCGAGCAGACAGACGACTCAAAGGGAAAGAAATATCCACATGTATTGAAGAAGCCTTTTAGACAGCAGCTAAGTATTGTGTTATTTGTCTTCCAAAAATTTCACCTGTCATGATACGATAAAACCGAGTACCCCTTTTCTCAACACAACGACTTTAGTGTAGAAATGGAGCACATCAAATACAGAAATTGAAACCAAATTTAACATATGGGTAGAACGCTGTAGCTAATATGCAAACGCTAAGCTAACAGCTGGTAAAATGAGAGTATTACACCGCAATAAATCGAAAAACGTCTAGTGGGAAATCACATCCCCAATTTCATTCAGATGGCCACGAATCTCTGGACCAATTCGAGCACGACACATTGGGCATTTATGGTGCTTACCTCGAGGCAGTCGAGAAAAGCATTCAGCAAAACAGTCTTCATGGTACATATGTCTACAGGGCAAGTTGCGGAGTATGTCACCTTCCTCGAATTCAACCAAACATATAGAACAAGACTCGCCATCAGCATCGCCGGCGTTGGTCGAACACTGCGAGATGTCCCGAGCGACACCCCGCTCGAGCAGAATCTTCTCATAGGGGCCGACTTGAGTGTGCTTGTCCAGCCATTTCCGCCATTTCATTGAGAAATCTTCACTGGCTCGTTCGAGTTCTCGGCGCTGTTGATCTCGTTGTCTACGATTGCCTTCCAATTGCCACGAGTAGTACACGATAAGAGGGGGCGGTATGATCACAATAACCGCCAAATAGCTTGCCACGATATAACCGTTGATAGCATCAGTTGGATGTACTTGTGAAAAATAAGTAGCGATGGAGTACCCAGCTACGATGAGAATATAACAGATCCACAACAGAACATAACGAGGCGTGAAGGAAATACAAACAGCCCCTTTAATAGTTGACCAACATGACATCGTTTATGGATGATTCACGAATGTGCGGTATTATGATGGACACAGTGCTAGCCTAGACATTCAGATTGTGTCTCTGTTGTGACTTCAATATACGCTAAGCACTAGATGATGTCGCATATGAAGCATATGGCGAGGTTTTGAACTATTGGGAACTACGAGCATCATCAGCTCTCCAATGAGTAGTGACTGGTCGAGTAGCTTGCATGCCAGCTGTGATGATAGATAGAATCCCACTGAATCAAACACTGCTACAACGGAGATAGACTTCAAGTTTAAAGACAGCAATAGAGGCTCAGAGTGTTCTCAAAAGAAGTTGCATGTTACACGCATGAGCTGTGGGAGTCTATTCCGTCGACTATCCACAAATATCAAGACCTCACTCCTCCGTGAATACCACTAACAACACAAAACTATCATTGAAAAGTCTAATGAATTATGAAGACTCGTCCATTGGGGTATCAGCATCGTCCTTCTGTTCTTCTGAGATGCCATCAGCTCGGAAGCTAACCCTCTTCACATCGACCGGGTCGTTGATATTAACCAGGAACAGTATCGGATCTAAGATTAACGAATGCGGACACTACGCATTCGAGGAAAAAGGCTCTGCAGGTACCAGAAGTGAATGCACTGACCGACAGCAGAGTGACTTTGGCATTTCCGAGATCAACTACTCTGAATTCGGCCTTGTCGTGGTTGGCCGAGAACATCACATGGCCAACAGGCTCCTCTGAAGTAAGCACGGTCCTGCCAGTCTAGGAGGACTGCGACTCACCATCAGTGATGACCAGAGGGTCGAAGCTAGGGAACGGATAGCAAGCAATCGTATCTGGTGCCGTAGGAGCTATCACGCGGCCCCTCGCTGTCAGCTCCAGAGCATCTGACAGAGAATATCACTGCTGCCAATGATGAGGTGAATAGCATCAACGTTCTACCCAATACGTTGGTGGTTGTTGAATACTGTGTAACCTCCTTCACGCATGCCCCTGTACTACCGAGGAAAACACAGTCGCCAACTTGGAACCTGACAGATCCCTTATACAACAGATATGCTTTCAAGACCATCACCTGGCCGGGTTTGTCTCCGCAGTGAGGTCCATGATCTTCCTAGACTCCGGGAATAGTGCAGAGTGCAATGGTTGTTGTGGTAGAGCGAAGTTGGCCGGATCCTGTGCGCCCGGCAGGATAGTCACTGGCACTGACCTGGCGACTCTTGCTAGGAACCTGTGACAGATTGATTCATCCATATGGCCAACATAGGAATGCCCACTTATCGACGCCGTTCAAGTCGGCCTGAGTGGTGACACCCCCCAACGTGTCACCAGCTATGATCAGCCTCACCATGGCTGACGGGGCAGCGTCAGTCTCGGCCTTATCGACTGATCAATCCAATTGTAGAGCACCCCGACCGTGAGAGTATTCACCAGCAGCTCCAGTGATCCACTCCGCCAGCATTGATCGAGCCATTGACTCTTGCCCAAGGCGTAGTCCACTGACGAAGCCAACATACTCGGCATCCCTACTGCTAGGTATACCCTTCGGGATAAGTGGTAGAGGGCACACCTGAGCACCACCTCATGCCCACTACGCTCTATCCTAGTCGGCTCACCATTTCATCAACTTCAAAGCACCCCCGGCCCCTGGTGCCTTTGAATGCTAGGACCTACCAAGGATGCCATCTTGTCAAACAACCAAGTCTTGCCTCAACGCACTCCAGCTACTCACCAGTCCTTGACAAAGCCTGTTCAAGTCCACCGTAGCGCCCTCTCTCACGACTAACCGTATACGAGAGCTGCTGTCCTCGAGGTAGATCTTGTCCTCATCAGAGGCATAGGAATCCGTCATGGAGTACCCTTCCGACGTCTATGACCAACAATAAGGCGACAGACTCTTCCAATGGGAATTCATACCATGGCTGGGTGGATGCCACTGATCCCTGCAGTTTTCTGTATTTCGGCCAAAACCGACGGACGTAATTTCACCTCCTTTACCACACAGCCGTATATGGCCACGGTAACCTTTAGAGAACTTCTAACTGGCCGAGCATCACCCACAAGACCCACCCCGCGCTCCCGATCAGTGACATGTCCGATCCCCTCCAAGAGATGGTCAGAAGGGATGACTCTGGTGGCGACCCACTTCGCCATAGCAGCCTCCACGATGGCGTTTCTGAGTCTTACCAATTCACCATTCACCCAGCGTGTGCCACTCACTTGAGCATGTTTAGCCTGGCGAAATAGGTACTGGCGTATTGCAGCTCGAAATTGCACGCCGAGAGCCTGAGTTTATCGTCGCTACCACGAATATCATCGCGAAAACTATCGCATAAATCCTGGTATCTGCTATGGAATATACCGACACAACGGTGAGAACCCCAACACTACCGAGCGGACTTCCTGGTTCTTTCGATAGGGGCGCGTTCAGTGCCGACCTGACGTAGTTCCTCATCAGTGGGTATGGACAGAAGGAGATCGCCATGTCCCTCGCCGGGCTCTGGTAATACTCCGACCATTACTCGGTAGACCTGACAGGGTCGGTCCTCCCACACCCCCCTGAGTCACTGATTCACTAACCCAAGGTGGAACGAGTCGGACACTACCGCGTAGTGATTTTGATAAACTGAAACTATATCGACTAGTGGTATCCTATACGGAATGATCATTGACGGCACCGGTGATAGGCTCATCGATGCCAGTCAACGTGACTGGACGATGACGGTCTTCTCGAGAAGACGGCACGAAGCCCAAAAATGAGACATTCTGTATTAGACTTGGTGGAGGGCCGCTGCTGATGGCTTGAGTATTATATCGATAACAGCCAGGAAGACCGGGGGCAAATCATTGCATTCTCTCGAAGATGGTGACGGTGACACCATGGGCCACAGCGTCACACGCGATCCTCCATTCTTCAGTGGACCAACCTTGCGGCCGCGATGGAGGCTCCAACTCGACCTGCTCATACCAGAACGCTCCCTTCTCTCGCGATGAGATAACAGAGTCGTAGTGGACGGGATAGTTGAGGCCCTTAGTGAAGGGAGTACCATCACTGAGGCACCATATGCTATACGATGAGTCCCCTTGCCCGATGGCCGTAGGTAAGCTTCTCGCCAGATTTAACGGTGCTGTGCTGGCCATGTCCAGCTAACAGGATAAAAAGGCTGAACCTTCGACAAGTCAAAGTCGAAAAAGAATTTAACTTTTTTCTCGCAGAAGTCCGGAACCGACTCACTGAATGAATGCTGTCGATGTGAGTGTAGACACGAATTCATCAACACTACATCACGTTTGTTGCTACAATGCTGCTCGTTGCGGTTGTTTACAGGCGGTTTCGTTCAGTCGCAATTCCCAGAGAATTTTGTGGCGCGTGACGATTCAGCGCAAGATGAAAGGATGAGTCGACTCAACCGTGGGCTCTGCTTGTGGGACTGGTTGATGAACGCTCCACTCCGGGCTCTCATGATTCTCCGACGACGATTCCTTAATAACTCAAATTTATATGTTACTAATAACGATATTGTCAATAACGTTCATTAAATATTCTGTGATTCACCAACCGAGCCCAGAGGTGGCTGCGTGTACGAAAGCCCGTCGCTTCCGAGTAACTCGCACGGGACGAGTACATGTCCGTGAGCCATCAGGAACTGAATATCCAATAACAAGACCGCTCTACACCTTTTAAACATCTAGTTCGTCTTTGGAACCATCAATTTCGTCGGGACGCGCGAAGTTGGAGGTACGAATCCGAAACGGGAAGATCATATTCGCAATTAGAACTTTCAACTTCGTCATAGAACATTCAAGTTCGTCCGAAGTCGATAGGAAGTTCAAATTCGTGTTAATAGAACTTTTAATTTCGACTTTCGAACCTTCGAGTTCGTCATAGAACTTTCAACTTCGTCGAGTACACCTTCATACCTTCGATTTCGTCCCTTTAGGAAAATCGACTTCGTCGTTCGGAACTTCGATTTCGTGTTACCAGGGCAATTATGCCAGTACTCTTACGATGAGGCTCGTGTTTTGCTAACCGTGTCACTCGTCCGTGGGCATCATGCAGAACCAAGCCTCTGCGACACCCATCCATGCGGCCGCTGCTCCCGCTCACCCCGTCATATCTCCTGACCGCGCGCACATGGCTCGAAAACATGGCGAGGAGGCATCGTTCCGCTGTCACAGCTCGCTTCTGCGGGCATGCTATTGGGTTGTTGAGTGAAGCAATCAACCACGAATACATGCCTGCCGGTGGTTGACTATGTCGTTTTCTTGATCGAGCCAGTCATATGAGTGGCTGCCAGCTACTGGCTGGCCGCACTATTCATGTGACATGACATTGATATGAGGATTTTCAATAGTGCCTTCGTTGTTGCTGTAGTACTACTTCGGTTGTGTACCGCGAGCACTAATCATAAGCCTCACCATGAGAGTACTGGCATGATTGCCCCGCAAACACGAAATTGAAGTTCCGAACGACGAAGTCGATTTTCCTAAAGGGACGAAATTGAAGTTCCAAAAGTGTACTCGACGAAGTTGAAAGTTCTATGACGAACTCGAAGGTTCGAAAGTCGAAATTGAAAGTTCTATTAGAACGAATTTGAACTTCCTATCGACTTCGGACGAACTTGAATGTTCTATGACGAAGTTGAAAGTTCTAATTGCGAATATGATCTTCCCGTTTCGGATCCGTACCTCCAACTTCGTGCGTCCCGACGAAATTGATGGTTCCAAAGACGAACTAGATGTTTAAAAGGTGTAGTAGAGGCCATTTTCATCTGTTCTTAATGGTGCCACCACCGAAAACTTCGAATGCAAATGCTCTAACCCTAGAATGGAACCTTGGTAGGCTGAATGGTGGCGTATAAGCTCATCCTCTCTAGGCCTCAATAAGGACCTCACTGACTGTGTCTTCAACCTGAGCACAGCCGGTGAGAAGGGTGGAACTGAGGTGTTCTATCCTACGGGCAACTGTGGGGTCATCTACGACTCTACCACTGGTCAACAACGTCTCCTACAGGTTGGTATCTGTCAACCTCCCCTGGTCTACTGCGGTTACCATTGTCAGGGACATGTGAATACCATCAGTGCGACTGTGATGGGTCGTGATAGACAATTCATCGTAACAGCAGATGCTGGGAGGAAGAGCCTTCTCGTGGTCTGGGATAGGTACCTCAGACCACCCAAAGGTCGAGCACGGCCCAGTCTAGTTCTCAAGGCACACAACTGCACCGATACGTACCATCGCAGACCCGCATCCTTATGGAGTCGTCGCACTTGATATGTCACCTGATGGAAAGTTCATCGTGACGCTATCGGCCATAGTAAGCAGTTTACATTATAGAGTTTATCGTAACACGCAAGAACAAAGTCCGTCGTCTATACACATGTATGTGCCTGTAGGCCCCTGCAGAGACAGACGATGATGGAAAAGACTCTCAGGGTGATACCACACTTCTGTCACATCACCGATCGCCTACCCTACTCTGTAGACCCCGTAGAGGCTAGTCGGCGCCTTGGCCAAACCATGGCTATTTGGGATTGGACCGACACCGACCGACAGGAGCCCCTTTGCAGTCACCGAGTAGGAACCTGGTCAGACCAAGCTCATGCCCGCCGACGCAGGTACCCAGCAATGACTTGCAGACTATGGTTCTTTTCAATCGGTGGAACATGACTGAGATCGCCTCGAATGGGAAGCGACGCGCAATCTTCTGGCGTTGGGATATAGAAGAGGCCACCAAACCCTCCATCACCGAGGTGGTTCACATATTCTACCGTATTTTCAACGCACATACAACTCAGGTCCCTCCGGCTATTTTCAATTGCTACTGCCCTGTCGTGAATGCTAAAGACTTAAATCAGCGTGTCGGGGACTTCACTATGACAGCCTTCCTACCGAGCACATCCCAGGTCTTGACCCCTGCTTACCGCTACAGTCACTGGTGGCTGTCCAGGTGGCCACCGGCACCGTGGACGGCGATGTGGTCATATGGGACTACTCCCTCATCGCTGGCTCTGACCCGACCAGTGCGCGCCATAGAAGGGCTGTCAAGGTCATACGGCTCGCCGCCCAGGGCGTCAGTCTGACCGTCCTCAAGGTGGAAATTCACGATTTCCTGTGTCACCACTATTTTGTCCGATTTCGAGGTGCATGATGACTTCATCGTTGTTGGCTCTTCAGAGGGTGCTGTGAGGTTCTACGACTTCGATTTTAAAATCAAAGTAAGGATCAAAAGATTTCATGCGCCGACCAGTTTCCATCAGGCTTGGTTCGAAGACATATCAGCCGGGACGGTCAAGAGCATTTCCTTCAGGGCCCCTAAAGTAGGTTGTTGCTCGAAAAACAGGTTCATGTTCTATTGCCCTTTTCAGCCAGTACCTGTCGAGCAATCTGTGACACGGAGGTCCGTGTCACCATCGAAGAACTTAGGTGAGTCACCACGCGGCAGTTAGTAACTGCTACGAGTATGCCTATTCAGTTGGTACGAGGCCTGGGGATCCCTCGAATGATGGCCCCTTCCATTGCGAGCCGTTTTTGATCAGCACAACCTCAGCCCTTATCGTTAATGTGGATTGTGAGCTCTTCTACCAGCCCGAATCTCTCGACCGTCGAGGACATCTAATTCACCAAGGTGATCCTAACTGTGGGCTCAGTCATCGTCTCAGTGTGCACGTGACACTTTCTCGATACATTCGGTCAGTCTCAAGACCCCAGATGTTCCCTCAGGAGTCGACTCAGCCGTATACGGGGTGGACTGTCATCCACACTTGCCGTTAGTGGCAATATGCGGCAACAGTGGCCTCCTACAGGTCTGGGAATACTACGATAAAAGGATGACCTTAGGGAGAGTGTTTGAGAAACTTGTATGCGGCTGTTGTTACCCATCACTTGGTGGGCATCACCGCTCCCCCATGCAGGTACCGCGAGTCATAAAGTACAGTCCTGACGGTGAGCGTCTCTTTGTTGGATTCACCAACGGCCATTGCAAACTCCTCGACGCCTCCGACCTCTCTGAGGTAATCACACTTAGTTAATAACAGTACCGAGCAAACATACTATCGTCCTATGTCTTGGGCTATATTCCGATCGTAGGTGGTATTACTAAATTCGATTATTATTACTGTTGTTGGCGTTGGTGTTGTTGTCGTTGTTGGCGTTGGTGTTGTTGTCGTTGTTGTTGTCCGATGCCTACTTTAGGGTTAATCATACTTCGTTTATACAGCTGCAGATTGCAGTACATCTTCAGCCGCCCGTCCTGAATTCAGTACGCGTGCCCCCCCCACTAATAGCTTAGTCATCATATCGAGTATTTCCTCTAAAACGCGCACCTACGTGTCCTCGTGGAGACAAGCAACTCTGGCATGCCGCTATAGACTTCTTATACATATTGGAACATTTTTAAGGGTCGATCACTGAGAGATTTACTCCCTGGAGCTCCTCGAACATCTTCCTGGTATGTCCATAGGTCTATGGTCTTAGTTCATAGGACAGTCTTCGATCTGTCCCATGTCCCTATTGTGATTCGTTCTCCTCAGCTGGCCGCCTTCAGAGACTCCCACGAGTCTGTAGTCCATATCGCTTTCTCCCGCGACTCAGCCTGTTGCGCCACGGCCCACTCGGACCAATGCGTCTACCTCTACAAGCTCTCTATTGTACCGACTAATCCGACCGCCCCTCGTGAGTGGGTCTTTGGAGGTAACGAGGATCCGCGTGTCCCATATGGCAACTGGTCGAGTGCAGGCAAGCTCCGCTCTCATCATCGGCCGATAGCCACCCTTACATTCAGTGGGCCCGAGGTCGGACCTGAACCGAGACTCTTCTCCATCGGTCAAGACGGGCGGTAGGCGTCTGACCGGATTCCAGAATCGACATGAGCTCCCTCAGATTGGTCGAATACAGTGTGAAGCACAGTTCGGAAGATAGAGGCTTGTTCATAACCAGTACGTGGACGATTTCTCAGGAGGTGGGTACAATAGAGGAACGGATGGGAATAGGCTGTATATAGCAGGCCCGGCCCCTTGGGGCTATGTGGTTCCCCTTCGGCGCTAGAGGGGATCATAGTAAGATCCTCGTCTCCGATGACCATTTCAAATTGAAGGTTTGGAATACCATTGATGGCAACTGCAGGTTGGCTGCTGCATACTGCATCTAGGGACAAGGCCCACCGTCTGGGCCCTTCAGATCGACTTCGCTGGCGCCGATATTAGGCGGACCCCTGGAGAGGATGGTGCCCCTGCCCAGACCTGATCGTAGTCGTCGTGATGGGAGGTGTTGGACCGACAGGCGGCTTGTTAGGTCAGAAGTTGACTGACGAGATCGTCGAGGGCGATGAGGCTTCGGATTTGATGAACCCGGCCAATGACGAAGGGCAGTTCATAGTATTCACCAACACGGAGAGCGTGAGGTGGAGGGGAGCGTGGCCTGTGGTGAAGGAAGGATCAGGTACTTGGGATCATCCAGCTGCCTCTGGATGGTAACCCGCACAAGTACATGGGTATCATAGCACACCCTGGAAAGGTGGCCGCTATGGCCGTCAGTTACGAGGTGATCCTCGAGGGTCGAGGGCTCAAGGGGCAAGTCGGTTGGTCTCAGGGTAAATACGTCTTCACTGTTGGTGGTGCTGACCTTACGCTCAATCAATGGGCGGTGAACACCGAGTCTATGGCGACTGTGTCGAGTCTGGCCAAGGTGCTTCTCACTCAAGCACGATGGAGTCAACTAAGACGTGTCCTTGTAGGCGGCTGATTTTGATGGTATCGAGTCGTACATGTCGATGATCGAGGGAGGCAGGGAGGGGGAGCTTCTTAAAGACATGAAGCAGTTCTTCTACTATAGTCAACTGAGGAGCCAAGGTGACACGGTGGTGTCAGCGTGGGAAGATATTCACATGGCCCACTACGACTATTAATCGAAATTCTGGGAAAATTCCGGGAAAATTTCGGGAAAATTCGGGAAATTCTCACTGATTTCGATACGATTATACCCGAGTTGGTGTGTGAATTCCTATAATTGAGGAATTCCCGAAGATCATCTGAGCATATATTCCAGCACTTTGGGGAATAGCAGGGCTTCCTTGAAGGTGAACAGACGATGCGGGCCAGAAAGCTGGATGGGATGATTCCGATTGCGGAAATACCCAACATGATGTGCGCATTAGGGTGAGGTCCCCGGTTCGATCCCTGCACCCTGCAAGTGTCTACTTCGCTCAGATTCTTCCCTAGTCAATTGGAGATCCAAAATATGACTGCTGAGGTTCGGTATTCGAGGTTCTTCGAAACTGGTCGGTATGTGGAGAAGATTACCTTTGAAGAATTCGTAAGTTGCACCATTTCGAAGCTCCTGCTGAAATTGCCATTCAACATGGGCATTGTCTCTATCACCAATGTCCAAAGGAACTGCATGAGTTCACTCAGAATGCTACATCCGTTCACGAAGTTCTCCGACTAGATGTTGATACCGGATTGCTTATTAGGTGAGGTTATACGTGAACCACAGACCGACCTTCAGCACCGAGGGAAGGGATGTCGTCGATGCTCTACTGGCGTTGACGAGGAAGGAAGAGACGGTGGGCTCCTTTAGCGCACTTGTATGATCACGCAAACGTGTCAGGGGATAGACAAGATCCCTCTAGATGTCCTCTTACAGAGGCTACTGAGGACCAATGCGCAAGGGGCCGAAATCGAGGCGAGCCCTTGTACTGTATCCGGTATCTTCATACGATATTCAGGGGCCCTCGGGAGATGATACAGATCCAGACGAACGGCTCACCTACGAGGAGTTCGAACAGTGCTTGAAATCCCTCGTGCAGGACGAGAACGCCACCATTGAAAGCGTCTTAGAGGATGTCGTTGATCCCGTGGTGTTCGTAAGGTAATCCCTAGTAGCAGTAGACAACTAGCGGCATGCCTCTCGGGCTATCAGAGATCTACTCGGGTTTGACGACGTGTCGGCCAACACTAGTGAAATGGACGGCGTTATGGATACAACGGAAGGTCCGATAGGTTGTGGATGAGGTCCTCGAGCCGCGATTTGTGCAGATGATCTTTCTGAGAGCTAAGAAGTGCATATATGTCATAGTCGTTGATGATCCTGGTGGTGGAGGGGGATTGTAGTTGTGTTACAGTCCCATTGGGGTTAGCAATACTATTCGCTACGACGCATCAACTACGCTCACTAAGCGGTAGATAACTTCATGGCGAGACCCTCATCATGTTGTCCTGAACTCAATTCGGTTAGTTGTGATCGACGATCGCCCTCGAAGCCACATCCTCCAGCTCTCCTCTACATCCTGTTCACCATGTAATGCATTCACTTAAAGGTTCTTACCTCCGCAGTAACTATACCAGGGTGGCAATCACAAGACCACCTGTACATTAGAAGATCGCTATATGGCCACAACAAGTTGCGACATCTGATCATTTACAGCGCAGAGGGGATTACTATTTCACCATGTGCTCGCATATATAACTTTCTACTATCGACTGCACGACTTGTTAGTATTGTACGACCACCTTCCTTCCCACGCTGTTTCACATTGACAATGATTCCTCAAGCGACGACACCCAGATGCTGCCTTTCTAGAACCCAATACTACCCTTGATATGACTGAGAGAACACTGTAGGTGAGCGAAAATCATATCCTGATTCCCACACTGTGCAACAATTCTCCTAACCCCCATGAACCCCGAAGAGTTGACTTCGGCCCCTTGCGGCAAGCCAGAAACAGAGGCCTTATTCAATAGATAAAAGCCCGCCACAAGAGACCCACTCGAAAGACGTGATTTTACAATTGAGGTTTTCCGTTAGGATCGAACATTACACTAAACAACACAAGCCAGATACGAGCGAGAGGAAACCATCCCAACACTTAGAAAAATGCTCGACAGTGATACAGTCTTAACCCTCCCTAGGTTTAACCCTCATAGACCCACTGGTAGTCGCATTTCTTCCACTCGTTGACGCCTTCAGGGAACCACAAAGCGATTTCCTTAGCGGCCGAATCGGGACTATCGGAGCCGTGGATAAGGTTCCTGCCAACCTCAAGACCAAAGTCGCCTCTGATTGTACCAGGAGCAGACTCTGAGGGCTTGGTAGCACCCAGAAGTCTACGGCCCTCTGCAGCAGCGTCAAGACCTTCCCACACCATAGCGACAACAGGGGCAGTTTGCATGTACTTGACAAGACCAGCGAAGAAAGGCTTATCGGACAGGTCAGCATAGTGCTTCTTGAAGTGCTCCTCGCTGGGACTGCACATCTTCATAGCGACCAACTTGAAGCCCTTATTCTCGAACCTAAGACAAGTGCATAAACTCTACAACCAAAACTCAGGAAAAGCCCACCTCTGAATGATTCGGCCGACGAGCCCACGCTGGACGCCATCAGGCTTGACCATAATGAAAGTGCGATCAGTACGAGTAGGCATTGTCGAAAAACCCTAGAGGAAAACTACAAAGTTGTAATATAGGAAATTGATCATGTTGCCCTTCCTAGCCAAAGATGCTTTTGAATTCTCGCTACGCCATTGTGATCGATTCACAGCGCAGTACCAAACACCACACTCCAGAGAAGCTATGGCAAACGTTCAGTGGTGGAAACGATCAATCAATGCTGTTGTGGACTCGGAGAGCCTCGTGAAAACATCCAGCTGACCAGTTGGCTCCAAATACCATCCAAATGGGCCTCTAGTCGATACGGCGGTCGCTGCATATCCCCTACTATCTCGCTGAGATGGGCAGCTCTCTTGTCATGTAGGCTCGTCACGTGGACCACATCCCAACCATGCCAGTTTACAATGTTATTATAGCTAACAGTAAATGTCAACTTAGCCGATCGCAGTATATGAGATTGGTTTGGCATATTCAATCGAACAGTAAGGTTAAGAAGCATGACGAAGGAGTTGGTGGCATTTGGTGGTCGAGGCGTACTCAAATCCTGCCAGTCGATTTGCCATTGACACGAGGCCGATTTGGTCAAGTCGATCTGCCGCAGAGTCTCACGGTCCCGTCGTTCCTTCCGAACTAATGCTGCCACCTCACACACAGCGACCCATGGCACCCCTGGCCGCAACAATTTCAATATGTAGCTCGGTGCTGCGATCACTGTAGGTGTTCGACATAAATCAGTAAACTCTTCCACTAACACAGAGGAGGCCACCAAATACCGATTGAGAAGCTGCGTCTCTGGCCGTCCGGGGACCTTGTCAATATTCAACTTCAATTGGAAAGTCCTGCTGGCCCATCGGCATACAGTACAACCCGACACACCACACTACCCTCGAAGTGTTCCACGACAGAACCCTCCAAGCTCGCTATCTGGTGCCGAGTCG